TGGGGGAGTTGGCCAATAATGGATGTCTCATGGAAACTAATATTGCCAATAATTTACTGAATCACATTTAAAGCTAGTCTGCAGTCTTCATAAAAGCTGTACACAGGCAGATGAAGGGGTGCAGCAGATGTCAGTTTGTGAATGAATGGCTGTTGTAGGCAGAAAGGTGGCTCCACATTTCAGTAATGTCTCCCTGGAGGTGGTAGGGGAATAAAAAGAGGTTCTGTTCTCAATGGATGGGAAGAACAGGCCTGCAAGTCTGACAAAGAAAGCATGGCAGGACATGACGACTGAAGAAGTCTGTAGCTGTAGTGTGGTCATAAGAATATGGGTGCAGTGTCTGAATGACTTTGAGGTCTGACAAGGTGTGCATGATGGCCATGTAATAGGCCTCTATGTCATACGCTACAGTAACCAGGGGGAATTTACTCTTGTAGCTGGTCTTAAAATGGCATGATGGTGAATGTTTTGAAGTAGCACTTTCTGACCAGCACTGTTGAGCCACTAGACAAGGAGAACACTAATGTATTCTGTCATCATAAGAGAAACTTACTGTTGACAGTTAGTGAGTAAGGGAGTTTGAACTTCTGCAAAAATCTAATTTTGTTTGCATTTAACATTTAACTTTTTCTTATTCACTCATGAGATATGGGTGTTTCTGGCATTTATTGTCCATCTCTAGTTGCCTTTGAGAAGGTGGTGGTGAGCTGTCTTGTTGGATCACTGCAGTTCATTTGGTGTAGGTAGACCCACAGTGTTTTTCAGGAGGGAGTTTTAGGATGGTATGTGGTTTGAAGGGAGCTTACAGATGGGTGGTATTCCCACGTATCTGCTGCCCTTATCCTTCTCGATGATGGTGTTCATGGATTTGGAAGGTGCTGTCTCAGCAGCCTTGGTGAATTTCTGCAGTGCATCTTGTGGATGGTACACGCTGCTGCTAGAAGCGTCTGTAGTGGAAGGACTGAATATTTGTAGATTTGTCCTGGTTTTAGTCTGCAGGACATACCTGGGTAGTTTTCCACATCGCTGGATAGATATCATTGTAGCTGCACTGCAACAGCTTGACTAGGCATGTTCTGGAGCATGTCTTTGGTAATTTGCTGGAATATTTTTAGAGTCCATAGCCTTTACAGTATCCGATACCCTCAAGTGTTTCTAAATATCATGTGGACCGAATTGAATTAGTTGAAAACTGGCACGTGTCACTCTGGGGACCTCTCGAGGAGACTGAGATAGATCATTCACTTGGCATGTCTGGCTGAAGATTGTTGCAAATACTTCTGCCTTATCTTTTACATTGATGTACTAGATTGCCCCATTATTGAGGATGAGGATGCTTTTGATGCGTTCTCCTTCAGTGAGTTGCTTAATTGACCGCAACTACTCAACTAGATTTGGCAGGACTGCCAAACTTAGATCTGATCCACTCATTATAGAATTACTTAGATCTGTCTATCACTTGCTGCTTAACGTGTTTGGCATGCAGGTAGGCCTGTTTTATAACCTTACCAGGTTTTTGCATGCCTGATGCTGATTCTAGTATGCCCCCCGGCACTCTTATTTGAGCTAAAATCTATTGTTCATCTCTGAATTACTAAGCTTTAAGCAGGGTTTTACTGGAATATAGTTAATGTTACATAATTAAGGAATGTGGTTGAAACCAATTTTTTTGTACCTGGGGTCAGTGAAGTCTTTTGTTTCAGAATATTTAAAGCTGGTCTTCTTAATATTATTTCGCACAGTGTGTGGTTTTGGAAAGAGTGCTGAGAATTGATGATTGGGGCAGTTAGATGAGGAGGGAAGGAGTGCAAATTTGCTTTTGCTTTTTCTAATTTTTCCAGCCTCTAGAATTGATTTACTTGACTACAGGGGAAGAAGCTACTTTTTGGTAAAAATCTGGTAAATTGTCTATTTTTGTTCAATTTGTAAAATTTAAAATAGTATAGGAACTGGTGGTAACATTAATAAGGTACGTAAGAAAGAAAATCAAGTAGTTAATTAAAGTATGAAAGATTGCAGGCAGATGATGTGTTACAGCTGCAGTGAGTGAGGAATCCTGGATGCCAATAATAGCTCTACTCCCAAAAACCAAGCAAGCCTATTGCTGTACTCAGAGACACTGAGACTCTATAATCTACATGTCAGGGAGAATTGTAAATGCTTCCTCTGAGTTCATGTATTGTGTGCTGTAGTTTTGGATTCAGTAATCATAGAACTCATTCCGGACCTGGTTGGAACAAGGAAAGATTTCCTATTTGGGAGTGCTTACCCCTGCTAATTCATAATTTGGTCAGGCTGGCCAAAACCGTCTTTCTAAATTTAGAAGTTTTCAAATAGACCCATAGATGGTGAGGAAACTACTGTATGCAGTTGTGAAAGAGCCTCTGGGTAGAACAGCAGGAGCTAGTCAGTGCTCTGTGAGTCAGGGTGCCCTAAAGAACATGAGATAGAAATCGAAAAGCCCTAAACCGGGCAGAAGAATTTCAGGGGAAGGAAGCATGTATCCCTGCTGGATGAGCAGGTAGTCTGACTAACAAATGTCATCTTACCAAATTTCGAGGAAGACCAGGTAGTATTGCAGATAGGCATGCAAATGGTGAGGGAGACAGCTTAACTAGTGGGCGAGCAGCAGGGCAGCACAGCTGGAGCTGCATACCCACCTCACAACAGGAATGTTTCAAAGCATTTGGAAGCACCCCTCCCCAAAGTAAAAAAACAGAAAAATTCATACCTCTGAAGTTGCACTGCAGTTGTGACTGCCACAGGAGAATCTCAAGCGCAGACAAAACAATATGCAATGCAGAGCCCAGTGAACTGGTGAGTGTGTACCAGAGGATGGATGTATCTGACTCAGTCAGTCATCTGTAGAATTTCTATGATTCTGGAGGTTAAGCTATTGTTGTAAATGCAGACTGCCAGCTTCTGGATTTTAGCGGGTTCAACTCCAATTTAACTACTAATTTGTCAGATATTCCATAATATTTTGTAGAGAAAAGTGCTGAAATACTTTTATTCTGCTCCTAGAATAATTTTGATTTGACTTTTATTACTTTTAAAATTTTTCTACTTACTAAAATTGTAATATGCGTACTGATGATTTCACTGCTTTATTCACTTAATTAAATATTTGTTCATAGTAAACATTAGAAATGTAAATATAATCTTGTCATTAGGAAGGATTTACAGCTAAGTTTATTGCAAAGAGTTAAGTACTTTGTATATTGAACATGGCACAAGGTGGCAGTGCTTGTTCAAAACATCATTCTGAATTGATCAAGTTTATATTTATGGCAGTTTAAAACCACTAGCCTGTTTGTTAAAATTAATCTGGTTATAATAAGAAATGTATTCACTATCCATATTTTGTGCAATAATATTTCAGAAAACTAGAAATGTACAGGTTTACAATTCAAATGTAAATAAATATGATAAATCAATGTTTAAACCTGACCACTTTTGCCATTGAACTGTCCACAGATAAATGAAATTAGGACAATCATCACTTGTAACAGAAATTTTGTTTTGTGTGGAATTATTATTTATTATTACAGAGTAATTGTATCAATCTTGACTTATACTTTTAGTTAACATTTTATCACTTCAGCAGTATTATGTACATTCATACAAACTTGCTCATTCTGAAGTTGAAGGAGGTTGAAGACTTAAATAATTACAACAGAAGAAATATTTAGAGTTGACTGTAAAGGAGCAGAATCTTGCTCAATGGGTAAAAATAGATATTTGATTTGTATATATTTATTTCTTGCATGCAACTTTTAAACAACTGTTTAATTAATGAAACTTAACATGATAGATAAATATCTTTTTGATTTCCTGTTTTGTTAGAAAATGTAAAGTTTTGAAATATGAACTATATATAACCTGGACTCTTGTTAATGAGTCTGCTCCAATTTCTGTCAATTTAATTAAACCCGCAGTTCCACAAGATTTAAAAACCATAGTTTCAGAAAATGATAAAAGACAAATACAGTAGACTATATAAATACTTAAGCTTAATCTTTCTTCTCCACCCACCACCATTTTCTTTAATACATTTTCATTTTTTAAACAACTGTGATTGATAACTTGAAAGGAAGTTGTTAAGTAAAAGTAATTTAATCATTATATAAATAATCAGTAGATAAATAACTAGTGCTGTCAAATCTATATTAATCTGCGAGCTTTGATGCACAGTCACAGTAATTCATGCAGAATGATGGTTAAATATAAAATACCTTAGGACAAACAGATTTGCATGCAGTATTCTTTACAGTTGATTTGTAGTCAAGAATAATATGCAAGTGTTTATTTTTAAATATATCCTTCAATTCAATCATGGAAGCCCATGTAGTTTTCTGAATTATGAAATTCCTGGGTTTTTTGATCGTTAAAATTATGAGTACAACATTAGTCTGGAGATTTGCTCAAGACATGGAGCAAGATTTTAACTCATTCAAAACTGATTCATTAACAGATTTAATATCAGGCACTTAATTTCTAAAATATGATTTTTGAAATTAATTTGTTAACAATGTGAAAGAAAACATTAGAAATAATTCGTGATATTTAATACTAATTCACCTAAGCTGTTATGATAGAAGCAACATCTTCTACTTTATTGTGATTGTTTCAGTCCCTGTTCGTACATAACACTTTCTGGTCATTTGTACTATTAAAAATTTTTAAATTTTCAGTGAGTTACGTTTCAGAGTTTTAGAATGCAGTATATGTTTCAGCAGTAGTATATCAGTGACCTCATCATTCTTATTGAACAATGTTAACACCGATAAACTAAAGAAGATTTTATACAAAGGTACTTGCTCTCCTTTTATTATTAACAGTATCATAAAGTTCACTTTATGCAGAAGTTATTAGAATTATTTTTTACCTTTCTGACTTGTTTTCCGATCGGCCTAAAAGTTTCAATATTGCTGTAACATTATCAGATAGTGTATAAATTTCACTTCTGCCTTGGTTAATGATCTCCATGAATCCTTTAGGATGAGGAGCTGGCTCGACAATTGGTGGAGCTGGGATACAGGGGAAGTGGAGAGGTGCTGAAAAGAGAAGAATTTGAAATGAGGAAGGCAGCTGCTGAGGCTGCAAGACTTGCTAAGAAAAGCCAGAAAAAGTGAGTATATCCTAACTCTGATATAAGCAGCTATTCATGCTTTTATTCTAAAAGACAAACAGTTGCTTTGGGTAAAGTATGTCCATCACCAGGGTGATGGAAAGGAAGGAGGAGCTATTTTGAAAATATGTTTCTATCTTGTTTCGTTTAGGAAATGCATTTCACTGGATCTTGAAAGCATAATGAATGCTGTGCATTCCCCCTGCCCTTCTTCAAATAGTAAAAATACAAAGAGTTACAATAAGGGAACACTTGTACTTATTGTAATACATTTAGAACAAAAACAAGCTTATTTTAATGCTAGTATTAAGACAATGCTGAATTTTGTTACCATTTTTAATAAGATCCAAAAACACAAACAGATGTTATGTTTTTTTTTCAATTTTCCACATTTGATAATTTCAGAATTCTTTATATAGTAATACTTGAAATTAATTACTTCAAAAAGCATTTTTAAACATACAACTTTAGCGTAAAACTTTAAACCGGAAAATACAAGGATGAACAGCTGCCACCACTAATCAGAAATAGTGAAAGAAGGAAGGGCACATTTAGAAAAACCACTAAGGTGCATTGACGTGCTGCTCTCAAGTACACTAATTCTTCCACTCTTTCAAACAATTTCATCTTAAACATACTGAAGGTTTGTATTTCTGTTGTCGAGATGGAAGCCCTAAAAACTCATGGCCTGACAACCTAGGATAATGCTGATTTGTATCCACCTCCGATCCTCACTGATGATCTTGCTTACGTTCACAGGTTAAGCTTAATTAAAGGGAAAGATATGTACCTTAAGAAAGAATAATTTTTAAGAGGTCAGGGATGGACCAATTTCATCATTCAGTAAATTCTTAACCTATCCCAGTAGGTTATTACTTTGCCTACAAATTTTGGCTACTTCATGTTGATTTTGTGCTGCACAAATGTCCTCTCTAATCTCTTGTATGCCCCCGAATGTAGTCCCCACTATAACTGGAAACTAATGTTAGCCATCTTTATAGAGGTCAGTGACAAAGCATTGCTTATACCTTAGTAAGTGCTTATAGGAGCCTGAGCATCGTGGGCTATTGTGAGATTTGTGGCTGAATCAGATGAAAACTGATGAGGCTGATCTCATTGTTGGGAGCATTTCATTCTAACATTCCAGAGCAGTATCTGGTGAATTCAGAATCAAAAGTAGAAATTGTTGGCAGAGCTCAGCAGGTCTGGTTACATCTGTGGAGAGAAATCAGAGTTAATGTTTTGGGTTGAGTTTAGAGGAAGGTGACTGAGAGAAGATGTTACAGGCATTACTGGGGATGGTAGAATATGAGCCCTGGTGAGAGATTGGCAAAGATCTAGTGAGTGTGAGATATTGGAGAGAAGATTGTGGTACTTATGCTGGCAGAGTGGAGAAGGTCATTGACCTTCTTACAGTAGTGTCCACTCCTTCAGACATCTGAGGCTGTATTGACTCGGGTGGCAACCTTCCTCCAAGCTAGCATGATCATGTGATGAGGCATTCACTACTGGTCTTAGGGGGAAGAGGACATCTTCCCCCAGCATCACACTATCCAACAGGATCTCTGGGTCCCTATCTGCAAAGCATAGCGCAGATTTCTTCCTGTCAGCCATGTCTGACACAAATATCAGGAGCCACCCAGGGCAGTATCGGATGACAGTGCTTGCCTGGTTGCACAATGGATTTTTAAAGATGGCACATATGCAAAGGATGCCTGTGAATTCTAGGATATCTGCTGAGTGGCGAATTGTTTGGGGAATGATAGTGTAAGATGGGGTCAGAATTGGATGTTAGGGATGGCATAAGGGGTTGGAATAGGTAATTAATGAGGCAAATTTGGTAAGTTATGGTAAGAAATCCCAATCAGAAATCCTTTCAAAAAACTTGATGCAATTCAGACTAAGCCAAAAGAACCTCAGATTCAGCCCACACTTTCTGTCTCATAAAACTTTTACTGACCTGCATAGACAGTATGAACTGAAAGGGATCAAAATTCCAACCTGGACAAAGGAGAAAGTATGAGTGCAAGATTAGGGAGTTGAGAAGTCACCCTTAAATGAGTTCCAAAATGCACGTGAGAGAGATCCATTATCGTTGGTCTCCTTTTGGTCAGAAAAGCAAAACAATTGGTTGAAGCACTTGAAAAATTGGTGCCTACTTACATGAAAGTGTTTGTATGACATAACATTGATGAATGATTTTATTTATTGGTCACATGTATTTTACAGTGAGAAAAACAGAAAAACACAGTGAAAAGCTATTCCACTGTCACCACAATCCAGCACTGTTTTGAATAATTTTACATAAGAAAAGAATAGAAAGATGTAGCTTAAAGAAACTCCATCAGTCTTGAGCCAGCTCATCATCAATGATGCCTGTGCTGCCAGTACCCCAGGCACAAGGAGAAACATTTAGCTGAAGTGCCATGGGACCTGAACGTGCTGCTTGGAAAATGTGCTACTCCTGTTTCTCATTGATTTAGAAGCCAGAAAGATAATAAATGTGATAGGAATGATGTTTTTATACCTGTTGGACATGACCCGTTAATTAACCCTTGCTCCACTTGTAAATACTAGGAAAGAAAAAGCAGTAGAAGACAAACTTACTATGGTCAGCAAACTGTGAAACCCTTGTTTCTGAGGAGTTCATCATGTAAGTGTGTTTTATCATTCCAGTGAATCTACTTGGATGATGGCAGACATTGAATGAGTTTTTTTTGGATTTGTGGTTTCAGGGCTTTGGGGTCAATTCCTGGTCTTGAACCCAATAATCCTGGCATTGTCTGCTGATGTGATCTTACTGGAGATGGGCAAATTGTTCACTGGCCCATTACAGCTGAGGTGGCAGGAAAGCCATTTGCAGCACACAAGGCCAGCAGCTGTGCCTGGCAATGTGGACAAGAGGAGTGAGTGGTGGGAAACCCTGGGATGTCCTGCATGGGGATATTTAAAGAAGATATAATGGTCTCTCAGTCTTCGTCCAAGAGACAGGCTATAGACAGGTTTCTGGATCCATTCTTGTCTTGCCCTTGATAAAATTAATTGGAGGCCAAAATGCACTGGGGACGTGCGGTTATGCAGGAGTTTTGAGATTTTCTCTTGGTATCTCCTCAAGGCTGAGGGAATGGGAAGATTTCATCTATTTCTGAAACGTAAACTTGTATGGTAACAAACAGGGGCGTCATAAATTTGTTCAGATTGTATAGAGTATTTTTGAGCATCTTTATGTCCCGAGGATTACAATCATTCTTCCTGCCAGCAAAATTTAAATAATCCAGCTCTTGGATCAGATTGAGATTAGAATAATGAGAATTTTTAAAAAAAAATCAACCCTTTTTTTTGATCAACCTGTTCAGCGATGTTATTACTCCCCTCTGGAGCAGGTGTGACTTGAACCTAGGCTAGGGGTAGGGGCACTACCACTATGCCACAAGAACTCCCTAGCATAATAAGAATAATTGAACTGAAGGTAAAACTGGGTACATCTGTGTATAATAAAACAACACCTCTTTGTTAAATGCTGGTTGCCAGTTGAATATTTGTCAGCTAATTCAAGTATTGTTTCAATAAAATTTGATCTTCTGGTAGTAAGGAAAATGTTGTGCCAGAAATTGACACTCTTAGCACGTAATGGGATGTGTCATATCAAGTTACACTCTGCTTGACATATGAGAGAGTTCAGTTTTTTTTGATGCAGTTAGCTTGTATCATAGAATAATGATAATCAAGGAAATAGGTTCGAGATGACATGGTGCTGGTGGCTAACATTCACTCTGGTTTCATCCCAGTACAGTCGGTTCTGCTATAATGCGATAGTTATATTTCTGTGCAATATCGGGTTATAGAAAATTGCGCTATAGAAATAATGGGAGCTATGGGAAAAGTGGGGTTCGGGGCAGACTACTGAACAAAAATCACTCAAAATCACTCAAAAATCACTCAAAACCATAAAACATTTAATTCATATCTAATAATGAAATAAAAGCAAACTTAACACTTCACCTTGAATAAGTGTCAAGATGACTTGATGGAGGAGGAGGTTGTACTGTATCTCTCACAGAAATCACTTCATGACAAAGTTAGCAAAATGATTACGTGATGCTGACACAGAGACTCTTTCAGTGCTAACGTTGTACGTATTCAGGACAAAGCCCATTGAAACGATCATGTGATGTCGACATGAACTCCTCCACGCACTGATGGAATCACGTTATAGCCAACACAAGTTTGCGTTATAGAAATAACGTTCCCTTATTCGTCAGTCGTGTTACAGCCAGTTCGCGTTGACGGAACACGCATTATAGCTGAACTGACTGTATATGGTTAGATTATAATTAGCTAAAAAAAGATGGACAATGTTTCTTGGCCATATTTTTCAGGAAGAATAGTACAAATCTGAATTATGGACCATGGTATTGTGATTTTTGATATTCTGTAAAAACTGGTGGTTAAAACCTGGCAACTTTCATTCCAGTTTTTCTGCTCCTCTTGCTTGTCTGCTGCTTGCCCCACTGGCACAACTGAGATAATGAACTTTCAGTGAAGGGATCCAACTTTACATGCATAAGCAACATGTTCACCTACATTTCAATGAATAGTTTAATGCGCAGGCAGAAAAAGGATTATCACAGCATTCAGGCTGTAAGATTGTGGACACCTGGGTGCCTAATCACTTGTTTGTTGAGCTTATTGAGTTAAGAGTTGATTACAGGCTTTGATAGCAAAAAAATGGTATTTTGCAAGTAGACAAAGCAATTGTAGACTTCTGGTTGAACAAGTTCACTTGAAGTTAATAAGATATATTTCAAATTAAATGACCAACCTGTTTATGATAGCACTGAAAATTCTAATAGCTTGAAAATTTTATAGCCATATCTACACCTGGATGGATCTGTAATCACAAATACCATCTTGTGGTTAGAGGTTGTTTTGTAAATGGAAGAGATTGAAAACATGAAATCACTTTTTTTCCTTTCTTTTAATAAAGTAATCTTTTGTGA